GGGTTTGGGAGGGGGGTGACAGCCCCTCTTATTGTTCCTGGGTTGGCTGTGGGGTTTGGGGGGGGGGGTGACAGCCCCTCTCCCAGGATGGCTGTGGGGTTTGGGGGGTGACAGCCCCTCTTGTTGCCCCCTTCCAGGCACTGAAAGCACTACAGGAGATGAGTTCCGCCAGCCCGGCTGTGCCGGCGCAGCCCGTATCCCGCAGAGCCAAAAGCATCCCGGTGCAAACCTTCGAGGCGAGTCCCCGTCCTTGTGCCACCCTTCGTGGGATGTCCCCCCGTCCCCTGTCATCTCAGCATCCCAACTGTGGCTGCAGGTGAAGCTGGACGTCACCCTGGGGGACCTGACCAAGATCGGCAAGTCGCAGAAATACACGCTGAGCGTGGATGTGGAGGGGGGCAAGCTGGTGGTGCTCAAGAAGCAGAGGGACGCCCAGGAGGACTGGAACACCTTCACCTATGATAAAAGTGAGCTTGGGGGGGGGGGTTTAGGGGGCTGGGGGGTTTGATGTGGGGCTCAGTGCCCCCCTAAGAGCTGTGATGTGATTGCTGCCCCCCCCCCCGCAGTCCGGCAGCTGATCAAGTCGCAGCGCGTGCAGAACAAACTGGGCATCGTCTTTGAGAAGGAAAAGGACCGGACGCAGCGCAAGGATTTTGTGTTCGTCAGCGCCCGGGTGGGTGCTGGGGGGGCACAAAGGGGGGGCTGCGTGGTTTTAGGGTGCAGGAGGCTCACGCTGTGCCCCCCTCGTCTTATAGAAGAGGGAGGCGTTCTGCCAGCTGCTGCAGCTGATGAAGAACAAGCACTCGCAGCAGGACGAGCCAGACATGATCTCCATCTTCATCGGCACCTGGAACATGGGTGAGTGCCGGGGGCAGAGCCCAGGCCTGACCCTAAACCCTGACCCTAAACCCTGACCCTAAACCCTGACCCTAAACCCTGACCCTAAACCCTGACCCTAAACCCTGACCCTAAACCCTGACCCTAAACCCTGACCCTAAACCCCCCTGGGTGCAGCCATTGGGGATGCAGTGAGGGCTATGGGGTGGGTGCAGCCATTGGGGTCACAGTGGGGGCTGTGGGGTGGGTGCAGCCATTGGGATCACAGTGGGGTCTATGGGGGGGGTGCAGCCATTGGGGTCACAGTGGGGGCTGTGGGGTGGGTGCAGCCATTGGGATCACAGTGGCACTGGATGCTATGGGGTGGTGCAGCCATTGGGGTCATCATAGTGGGGTCTATGAGATGGGTGCAACCATTGGGGTCACCATGGCCTCAAGTGCTGTGGGTTGGATGCAGCCATTGCAGTGACAGTGGCACTGGATGCTATGGGGTGGGTGCAGCCACTGGGGTCATGGTGGCACTGGATGCTATGGGGTGGTGCAGCCATTGAGGTCACCATAGTGGGGTCTATGGGGTGGATGCAGCCATTGGGGTCACGGTGGTGTCTATGGGGTGGGTGCAGCCATTGGGGTCATGGTGGCTCTGGATGCTATGAGGTGGTGCAGCCATTGGGGTCACCATAGTGGGGTCTATGGGGTGGGTGCAGCGTTTGGGGTCACAGTGGGGTCTATGGGGTGGGTGCAGCCATTGGGGATGCAGTGAGGGCTATGGGGTGGATGCAGCCATTGGGATCACAGTGGTGTCTATGGGGTGGTGCAGCCATTGGGGTCACCATAGTGGGGTCTATGGGGTGGGTGCAGCCATTGGGGATGCAGTGAGGGCTATGGGGTGGATGCAGCCATTGGGGTCACAGTGGTGTCTATGGGGTGGGTGCAGCCATTGGGGTCACGGTGGCACTGGATGCTATGGGGTGGTGCAGCCATTGGGGTCACCATAGTGGGGTCTATGGGGTGGGTGCAGCGTTTGGGGTCACAGTGGGGTCTATGGGGTGGGTGCAGCCATTGGGGATGCAGTGAGGGCTATGTGGTGGATGCAGCCATTCGGGTCACAGTGGTGTCTATGGGGTGGATGCAGCCATTGGGGTCACAGTGGTGTCTATGGGGTGGGTGCAGCCATTTGGGGTCACAGTGGTGTCTATGGGGTGGGTGCAGCCATTGGGGTCACAGTGGTGTCTATGGGGTGGTGCAGCCATTGGGGTCATGGTGGCTCTGGATGCTATGAGGTGGTGCAGCCATTGGGGTCACCATAGTGGGGTCTATGGGGTGGGTGCACCCACTGGGGTCACCCCCCCTCCCCGGCCCTTTTCCTGCACGTATCCTCGCTGTATCCTCGATATACTGAGCGTGGCCCCCGCCCTCCCCGCAGGCAGCGTGCCCCCACCCAAGAGCATCACGTCGTGGTTCACGTGCAAGGGGCTGGGCAAGGCGCTGGATGAGGTGACAGCCAGCATCCCGCACGACATCTACGTCTTTGGCACCCAGGAGAATTCGGTGGGAGACAAGGAATGGGTGGATTTCCTGCGTGCCGTGCTCAGGGATTTCACCGACACCGAGTACCGGCCGGTACGAACGGGACGTGGCGATGGGGGGAGAAACCGGGGGGGGAAGAACCTCGGCCCCAAGTGCTGCTGTGGGGTGGGCGCAGCCATTGGGGATGCAGGGGCAGGAAGGGCTGTGGGGTGGGTGCAGCCAGTGGGGTCACAGTGGGGTCTGTGGGGCGGGTGCAGCCACTGGGGTCACCGTGCAGTGGGGTCTATGGGGTGGGAGCAGCCATTGGGGATGCAGGGGCAGGAAGGGCTGTGGGGTGGGTGCAGGCTTTGGGGCCATAGTGGGGTCTATGGGGTGAGTACAGCCATTGGGGCCACAGTGGGGTCTATGGGGTGGGAGCAGCCATTGGGGATGCAGGGGCAGGAAGGGCTGTGGGGGTGGGTGCAGCCATTGGGGCCACAGTGGGGTCTATGGGATGGGAGCAGCCATTGGGGCCACAGTGGGGTCTATGGGGTGGGAGCAGCCATTGGGGTCACGGTGGCACTGGATGCTATGGGGTGGTGCAGACATTGTGGTCACAGTGGGGTCTATGGGGTGGGTGCAGCCATTGGGGCCACAGTGGGGTCTGTGTGGAGGATGCGGCCATTGGGGTCACAGTGGGTTCTATGGGGTGGGAGCAGCCATTGGGGATACAGTGGGGTCTATGGGGTGGGTGCAGCCATTGGGGCCACAGTGGGGTCTATGGGGTGGGAGCAGCCATTGGGGATGCAGGGGCAGGAAGGGCTGTGGGGTGGGTGCAGCCAGTGGGGTCACAGTGGGGTCTATGGGGTGGGTGCAGCCATTGGGGCCACAGTGGGGTCTATGGGGTGGGAGCAGCCATTGGGGCCACAGTGGGGTCTATGGGGTGGGAGCAGCCATTGGGGTCACGGTGGCACTGGATGCTATGGGGTGGATGCAGCCATTGGGGTCACAGTGGGCTCTATGGAGTGGGTGCAGCCATTGGGGATACAGTGGGGTCTATGGGGTGGGAGCAGCCATTGGGGTCACGGTGGCACTGGATGCTATGGGGTGGTGCAGTAATTGGGATCACCGTGCAGTGGGGGCTGTGGGGTGGGTGGGTGCAGCCATTGGGGTCACGGTGGCACTGGATGCTATGGGGTGGTGCAGCCACTGGGGCCACAGTGAGGTCTATGGGGTGGATGTAGCCATTGGGGTCACCGTGCATGGGGGGGCTGTGGGGTGGGTGCAGCCTTTGGGGTTACAGTGGGGTCTGTGGGGTAGGAGCAGCCATTGGGGTTACAGTGGGGTCTATGGGGTGGGTGCACCCACTGGGGTCACCATGCAGTGGGGTCTATGGGGTGGTGCAGCCATTGGGGTCACCATGGTGGGGTCTATGTGTGTACTCATTGGGGACACAAAGGTAGTGGGGTTTATGGGGTGGTGCAGCCTTTGGGGTTACAGTGGGGTCTGTGGGGTGGGTGCAGCCACTGGGATCACCATGCAGTGGGGTCTATGGTGGGTGCATCCATTGGGGTCACAGTGGGGTCTATGGGGTGGGTGCAGCCATTGGGGCCACAGTGGTGTCTATGGGGTAGATGCAGCTATTGGGGTTATAGTGGGGTCTGTGGGGTGGGTGCAGCCATTGGGGTCACAGTGAGGTATATGGGGTGGGTGCAGCCATTGGGGTCACAGTGGGGTCTATGGGGTGGGTGCAGCCATTGGGGTCACAGTGGTGTCTATGGGGTAGATGCAGCTATTGGGGTTATAGTGGGGTCTGTGGGGTGGGTGCAGCCATTGGGGTCACAGTGAGGTATATGGGGTGGGTGCAGCCATTGGGGTCACAGTGGGGTCTGTGGGGTGGGTGCATCCATTGGGGTCACAGTGGGGTCTGTGGGGTGGGTGCAGCCTTTGGGGTCACCATAGTGGGGTCTATGGGGTGGGTGCATCCATTGGGGTCACAGTGGGGTCTATGGGGTGGTGCATCCATTGGGGTCACAGTGGGGTCTGTAGGGTGGGTGCAGCCTTTGGGGTCACCATAGTGGGGTCTATGGGGTGGGTGCAGCCATTGGGGTCTCCATAGTGGGGTCCTTGGGGTGGGTGCATCCATTGGTCACGGCGTCCCCCAGTGCTGTGGGGTGGATGCACCCAATGGATCCGTGGCCCCGCCGGGCGCCATGGGGTGGTGCAGCCGCTGTCCCCCCGGCCCGGTGGGGCTGAGCTGCGTCCGCGCAGGTGGCTGTGCAGTCGCTGTGGAACATCAAGGTGGCCGTGCTGGTGAAGCCGGAGCACGAGAACCGCATCAGCCACGTCAGCACGTCCAGCGTCAAGACCGGCATCGCCAACACGCTGGGTGCGGCGTCCTTTGTGCCCCTCGGGTCCCCATCGGGTCCCCGTCGCCTCTCCGTGCTCCTCTCGATCCTCACGTCCCCGTCGGGTCCCCAGCTTCTGTCCCTGTCCTTCCATCCCTGTGGTGTCGCCATCTTCCTGCCCCACTGCATCCCCATCCCCATTAAGTCCCCATCCCCATCATGTCCCCATCATGTCTCCATCCCCATCTTCTGTCCCCATCCTTCCATCCATGTGGTGTCCCCATCTTCCTGCCCCATTGCATCCCCATCGCGTCCCCATCGTGTCCCCATCCTTCCATCCCTGTGATGTCCCCATCCTCCTGCCCCATTGCATCCCCATCATGTCCCCATCGTGTCCCCATCTTCTGTCCCTGTCCTTCCATCTCAGTGGTGTCCCCATCCTCATGTCCCCATTATGTCTCCAGCCCCACTGTGTCCCCATCTTCTGTCGCTGTCCTTTCATCCATGTCATGTCCCCATCTTCCTGCCCCATTACATCCCCGTCCCCATTGCGTCCCCATCCCCATCATGTCCCCATTGTGTCCCCATCATGTCTCCATCCCCATCTTCTGTCCCCGTCCTTCCATCCCTGTGATGTCCCCATCTTCCTGCCCCATGGCATCCACATCCCCTTCATGTCCCCATCATGTCCCCGTCCCCATCGTGTCCCCGTCTTCTGTCCCTGTCTTTCCATCCATGTGGTGTCCCCATCTTGCTGCCCCACAGCATCCCCGTCCCCATCGTGTCCCCATCGTGTCCCCATCGTGTCCCCATCGTGTCCCCATCGTGTCCCCATCGTGTCCCCATCGTGTCCCCATCCTTCCATCCCTGTGATGTCCCCATCCTCCTGCCCCATTGCATCCCCATCATGTCCCCATCGTGTCCCCATCTTCCTGCCCCACAGCATCACCATCGCCATCGTGTCCCCATCTTCTGTCCCTGTTCTCCCATCTCAGTGGTGTCCCCATCCTCATGTCCCCATCATGTCTCCAGCCCCACTGTGTCCCCATCTTCTGTCCCTGTCCTTCCATTCCTGTGGTGTCCCCATCTTCCTGCCCCATTGCATCCCCGTCCCCATTGCGTCCCCATCCCCATCATGTCCCCATCGTGTCCCCATCATGTCTCCATCCCCATCTTCTGTCCCCATCCTTCCATCCCTGTGGTGTCCCCATCTTCCTGCCCCATTGCATCCCCATCATGTCCCCATCGTATTCCCATCTTCTGTCCCTGTCCTTCCATCCCTGTAGTGTCCCCATCTTCCTGCCCCACTGCGTCCCCGTCCCCATCATGTCCCCATCGTGTCCCCATCTCCATTGTGTCCCCATCTTCTGTCCCCGTCCTTCCATCCCTGTGATGTCCTCATCTTCCTGCCCCATGGCATCCACATCCCCTTCATGTCCCCATCATGTCCCCGTCCCCATCGTGTCCCCGTCTTCTGTCCCTGTCTTTCCATCCATGTGGTGTCCCCATCTTGCTGCCCCACAGCATCCCCGTCCCCATCGTGTCCCCATCGTGTCCCCATCGTGTCCCCATCGTGTCCCCATCGTGTCCCCATCGTGTCCCCATCGTGTCCCCATCGTGTCCCCATCGTCTCTCCCCATCCTTCCATCCCTGTGATGTCCCCATCCTCCTGCCCCATTGCATCCCCATCATGTCCCCATCGTGTCCCCATCTTCTGTCCCTGTTCTCCCATCTCAGTGGTGTCCCCATCCTCATGTCCCCATCATGTCTCCAGCCCCACTGTGTCCCCATCTTCTGTCCCTGTCCTTCCATCCCTGTGGTGTCCCCATCTTCCTGCCCCATTGCATCCCCGTCCCCATTGCGTCCCCATCCCCATCATGTCCCCATCATGTCTCCATCCCCATCTTCTGTCCCTTTCCTTCCATCCCTGTAGTGTCCCCATCCTCCTGCCCCATTGCATCCCCATCCCCATCATGTCCCCATCCCCATCATGTGTCCCCGTCTTCTGTCCCTTTCCTTCCATCCATGTGGTGTCCGCCCTGCACCTTGTCCCCATTCCCCATTCCTATCTCCTGTCAATTGTCCCCATCCCCTGTCCCCATCCCATTCCCTGTCAATTGTCCCATTCTTATCCCCATCCTGTCCCCATTTCTGTTCACATCCCTGTTCCCATCCCCATCCAGTCCCCATCCCCCGTCGCCTGTCAGTTGTCCCCATTCCTTGTCTCCATCCTGTCCCCATCCCCTGCCAACTGTCCTCATCCCCTGTCCCCATCCCATCTTGTCCCCTGTCCCCATCCCATCCCTGTCCTTTCCCCACTCTCTGTCCCCATCCCATCCCCTGTCCCCATCCCATCCCTATCCTGTCCTCCTCCCATCCCCCCTGTTCTCATCCCATCCCTATCCCGTCCCCATCCCCATCCCGTCCCCACTCTGTCCCCATGCCATCCCCTGTCCCCATGCCATCCCCTGTCCCCATGCCATCCCCTGTCCCCATGCCATCCCTATCCTGTCCCCATCCCCTGACCCCATGCCATCTCCTGTCCCCCTCCCCACTCTGTCCCCATCCCCTGTTCCCATGCCATCCCTATCCTGTCCCCATCCCATCCCCTGTCCCCATCCTAACCCTATCCTGTCCCCATCCCCTGTCCCCATCCCCTGTCCCCATCCCCTGTCCCCATCCCCTGTCCCCATCCCCTGTCCCCATCCCCTGTCCCCATCCCCTGTCCCCATCCCCTGTCCCCATCCCCTCCCTATCCTGTCCCCATGCCATCCCCTGTCCCCATGCCATCCCCTGTCCCCATCCCCTGTCCCCATCCCCTGTCCCCATCCCCTGTCCCCATCCCCTGTCCCCATCCCCTGTCCCCATCCCCTGTCCCCATCCCCTGTCCCCATCCCCTGTCCCCATGCCATCCCTATCCTGTCCCCATGCCATCCCCTGTCCCCATGCCATCCCTATCCTGTCCCCATCCCCTGTCCCCATCCCCTGTCCCCATCCCCTGTCCCCATCCCCTGTCCCCATCCCCTGTCCCCATGCCATCCCTATCCTGTCCCCATCCCATCCCACCCCATCCTGTCCCCGCAGGCAACAAGGGTGCGGTGGGCGTCTCCTTCATGTTCAATGGCACGTCCTTCGGCTTCGTCAACTGCCACCTCACCTCGGGCAACGAGAAGACGGCCAGGTGAGCGTGGGGACAGCGTGGGGACAGCGTGGGGCTGGGGGAGGTGACGGCAGCGTCCCCCTTTTCCCCCCCTCCCCACACAGGAGGAACCAGAACTACCTGGACATCCTGCGCCTGCTCTCGCTGGGCGACAAGCAGCTCAGCTCCTTCGACATCTCGCTGCGCTTCACCCACCTCTTCTGGTTTGGGGACCTCAACTACCGCCTGGATATGGACATCCAGGTGGGTGGGTGGTGGTGGTGGGGAGGGGGGGCTGCATTTAGGGGAGGGGGCCGCCCCCGTGTTGCCCCCTAAACCAATTGCCCGCCCCTGCAGGAGATCCTGAACTACATCAGCCGCAAGGAGTTCGAGCCGCTGCTCAAAGTGGATCAGCTCAACCTGGAGAAGGAGAAGCACAAAGTGTTCCTGCGCTTCGGTGAGGGCACGTGGCTGTGGGGGGGGGGGGGTCTGGGTGCTGATTCTCCCTGACCCCCCCCCAAAAATATTCCCTGCTGCAGGAGAGGAGGAGATCACCTTCCCCCCCACGTACCGCTATGAGCGCGGCTCGCGGGACACCTACGTGTGGCACAAGCAGAAACCCACGGGGGTACGGTGATGGGTGGGGGGGATTCTGAGGGTGGGGGGGCACCCAGATGGGTCCTGTGTGACCCCCAGCCCCCCCCCCCACCCGGTTCTTGCTGCAGGTTCGCACCAACGTCCCGTCCTGGTGCGACCGCATCCTCTGGAAGTCGTACCCCGAAACCCACGTCAACTGCAACGCCTATGGTGAGGGGCAGCCCTGGTGGCAGGGGGGGACACTGGGGATGGCCACCCCAACTGGGGATGGGTTGGAGATTGGTTGGGGGCAGGTTTGGGGCAGGGGATGGGTTGGGGACAGGTTTGGGGCTGGTTGGGGGCAGGATAGGAATGGATTGGGGACAGGTTGGGGACAGGATAGGAATGGATTGGGGGCAGGTTGGAGCAGGGGATGGGTTGGGGACAGGTTTGGGGCTGGTTGGGGGCAGGATAGGAATGGATTGGGGACAGGTTGGGGACAGATTGGGGACAGAATGGGGATGGATTGGGGGCAGGTTGGGGCAGGGGCTGGTTGGGGCAGGATAGGAGTGGATTGGGGGCAGGTTGGGGACAGGATAGGAATGGATTGGGGGCAGGTTGGGGCAGGGGATGGGTTGGGGACAGGTTTGAGGCTGGTTGAGGGCAGGATAGGAATGGATTGGGGGCAGGTTGGGGACAGGATTAGAATGGATTGGGGGCAGGTTGGGGGCAGGTTGTGGCAGGGGATGGATTGGGGACAAATTTGGGACAGGTTTGGGGAGGCTGGGGAGAGATTGGGGGCTGGTTTGGAGCAGGACGGGAATGGATTGGGAGCAGGTTGGGGACGGGATGGGTTGGGGACAGGTTTGGGGCTGGTTGGGGGCAGGATAGGAATGGATTGGGGACAGGTTGGGGACAGGATAGGAATGAACTGGGGACAGGTTGGGGGCAGGATAGGGATGGATTGGAGGCAGGTTGGGGACAGGATAGGAATGGATTGGGGACAGGTTGGGGACAGATTGGGGACAGAATGGGGATGGATTGGGGGCAGGTTGGGGCAGGGGCTGGTTGGGGCAGGATAGGAGTGGATTGGGGGCAGGTTGGGGGCAGGTTGGGGACAGGATAAGAATGGATTGGGGGCAGGTTGGGGCAGGGGATGGGTTGGGGACAGGTTTGAGGCTGGTTGGGGGCAGGATAGGAATGGATTGGGGGCAGGTTGGGGACAGGATTAGAATGGATTGGGGGCAGGTTGGGGGCAGGTTGTGGCAGGGGATGGATTGGGGACAAATTTGGGACAGGTTTGGTGAGGCTGGGGAGAGATTGGGGGCTGGTTTGGAGCAGGACGGGAATGGATTGGGAGCAGGTTGGGGACGGGATGGGTTGGGGACAGGTTTGGGGCTGGTTGGGGACAGGATAGGAATGGATTGGGGACAGGTTGGGGGCAGATTGGGACAGAATGGGGATGGATTGGGGGCAGGTTGGGGCAGGGGCTGGTTGGGGCAGGATAGGAATGGATTGGGGGCAGGTTGGGGGCAGGTTGGGGACAGGATAGGAATGGATTGGGGGCAGGTTGGGGGCAGGGGATGGGATGGGGACAGGTTTGAGGCTGGTTGGGGACAGGATAGAAATGGATTGGGGACAGGATGGGAATGGATTGGGGGTAGGTTGGGGCAGGGGATGGATTGGGGACAGGTTTGGGAAAGGTTTGGGGCTGGCTGGGGTGAGATTGGGGGCTGCTTGGGAGCAGGATGGGAATGGATTTGGGGGCAGGTTGGGGACAGGATGGGTTGGGGACAGGTTTGGGATGAGTTGGGTGCAGGTTGGGGTTGTATGTGAGCTGGGGGTGGACTGGGGCCAGGTTGGGGATGAGATGGGTACAGGTTGGGGTTGTATGTGAGCTGGGAGTGGATTGGGGCCAGGTTGGGGATGAGGTGGGATGAGGGAACAGGTTGAGAATGGGTTGGTGACAGGTTTGGGGCAGGTTGGGTACAGACTGGGGATGGTTGGGGGGGACAGGTTTGGGAAAGGTTGGGGATGGGTTGGGGGCAGATTGGGAATGTATTTGGGGGTTGGTTGGGGACAGGTTGAGGGTGAATTGGGAGCAGGCTGGGGGTGGGTTGGGGAACAGTTTGGGCACAGGTTGGGGATGGGTTGGGAACAGGGGGTGAATTGGGGACAGGCTTGGGCACAGATTGGGGGCAAGTTGGAGGCAGTTTGGGTGTGGGTTGGAAACGGGTTGGGGACGGATTGGGGGCAGGTTGGGGATGGGTTGGGGTCATGCTGGGTACGGATTGAGGGCAAATTGGGAATGGACTGATGGGGCAGGTTGGGTATGGGTTGGGTTGGGGACAGGTTTGGGATGAGTTGGGGTTGTATGTGAGTTGGGGGTGGATTGGGGCCAGGTTGGGGATGAGGTGGGATGAGGGAACAGGTTGAGAATGGGTTGGTGACAGGTTTGGGTTGGTGACAGGTTTGGGGCAGGTTGGGTACAGCTTGGGGATGGATTGGGGACGGGTTGGGGGGACAGGTTTGGGAAAGGTTGGGGACAGGTTGGGGATGGATGGGGGACAGGTTTGGGGGCAGGTTTGGTGCAGGCTGTGGGACAGATCACTCTGTGTGCTGCAGGCTGCACCGACGACATCACGACCAGCGACCACTCGCCCGTCTTTGGCTCCTTCGAGGTCGGCGTCACGTCGCAGTTTGTCTCCAAGAAAGGTACAGCCTTCAGACTCATGGGGACAGAGGGGATGTGGGGACAAAGGGGGACGTGGGGATGAGGGGGGACACCCCGCTGCCCCTCCTCCCTGTGCAGGGCTGTCCAAGTCATCGGATCAGGCGTACATCGAGTTTGAGAGCATCGAGGCCATCGTGAAGACGGCGAGCCGCACCAAGTTCTTCATTGAGTTCTACTCCACCTGCCTGGAGGGTGAGCGCATTGGGGGGGGGGTCTGTAAAGGTTTGGGGGGCCGGGGGGAGCTTTGGATGCGGTGCCACCGTGCCGTTCCCTGGTTCAGAATTCAAGAAGAGCTGCGAGAACGACACGCAGAGCAGCGACAACATCAACTTCCTCAAGGTGCAGTGGTCGTCGCGGCAGCTGCCCACGGTGAGGTCGCCGTGGGGTGGTGGGGATACAGGAGGGCACCGGGGGGGGGGGAGGTGAGGGGCCGTAAGCCCTCACACCGCCTGCCCCCCTCTTTTTGTCCCCCAGCTGAAACCCATCCTCTCTGAGATTGAATACCTGCAGGACCAACACCTGCTGCTCACCGTCAAGTCCTTGGATGGCTACGAGTCCTACGGTGCGCACGCCGTCGCCGGTCCC